GGCTCTCATCGTTCACACCAGGGCTATTTGTTTGCTTCAAAGATACTAGTAGGTTCAGGAGAGACAATAGGACATGCATCCCCACCCCCCAATCTTCGACCAAGCACCCTTTTACAGGTTTGCCTTTGATTTCTCCCAAGCTGTAACAAGCTAACAAGCCAAGTCGCAGATTCAATCCTGGCAGGGCCATGATCCATTAGATGCAAGCGGCGGAGGGGATGTGTTTTTTAGCTGTGATGAGTTTCCAATGGAATTTGCCCAGAATAGCAGGTGTGCCAGGCTCTGGGTTTGCCATTTCACCCTTTTTGTTTCGGATTGATGGGTCCCTTGATCTTAAACTATATTGGGGGGGCCGCAAGGCAAACAATCCCGGATGGGCACACATTTCTGGGAAAGGCACCACGCCGTTGCTTGCTTCGCGCCGACTGGGCGAACTTCTACACCACTCAGCACAATGCACAAGAGAGGACAAGCAGATTTAATCAGGTTGTAACTTTTTGATTTCGCGCAAAGACTGTGAAAGGCGCCTGAAAAGGGGTGTTTTCTTAGTTGGGTAGCCATATGCATCTTTAGGTTAGAACTGCCCAACCTGCTTGTCATGGGTTTGTTTTGGTAGCTTCTCGCAATAGCAGCTTTGGCGGTGCTTTGTGAGGTTCCGTTTTCAGGTTGGAAACCACCAACACTCAAAAGGACAACCGCATGTTGAGTGGAATCCAGATCCCTGGAAGACCATATTCTTGCAGAAAGACGGCCTGCCAGGTTTCGTCGGTTGCGTGTGGATAGAGGGAAGTTGTGTCTTGAATCCCCAGCGACAGGCTGCATTTGCACACGCCGCCCTTGCCGCGATGCCAATCACATAAGGACGACCAGAAGCCCCGACGCTTGGGACCCAAGAGGGTGCGGCGGCCCAGTTCCGAAGCCCATTTCGACCACGCCAATGTGTAAGCAGGATCCTCCATGCAAGTTGTGTTATACACCGGGATGTCCGATTTGTTCAATGTTGCTTCGAGGAACTGGTTACAACGTAATGTTCATTGAGACGCTCTGAAGCGAGCAGATCCTTTGCTGCGATCGACCGGTTGACCGATTCGTGCTGATAGTTGAAACATACGTGTACACCGCCCGATGCTTTTCCGATCATCGGTCCCCCGAAAGGGGGCCCGGGCTCCCAATGCTGGTGGCGCCTTATGGGGGCCAAGAGAGGTCCCATCTAGCAAGAAATGCATTTTGTGAGTATGGGATCCCATTAGCAGAGGCCTGCCTTTTGGGGGCCTCAGACCCAGATTGCTGTGCAGAAGGCAGCCACAGAGCGAGAAAGTCATGTAGCCTGGCATTCAAGGGAAACCAGCAGGATGCCGCCAATCTTGTGGGTCCCCAAATCGACGCATTCCCAAAAGGGGGGTGCCGTTGTGTCAACCCCCCATGTTTCATTAACAACTAGGCTACTCGTCTTGATTCATTATCCCCTTTGTTTGGAGTGTTATTTTCAGACACCCCAAAGTGCTTCTCAATACCCGCAAAATTATAATTGAGGTTCCCCGACTCCCCACCCAGCCCAAGATACCAAAAGGCTTGCCTCCAGAACCCTGCCTTGAAGTTCTCTGGAGGGATGAAGAAGGAAGTGGTCAAGCCTAGGTTGGTGGTTGAGGTGGAGGCGTGTGCAAGCGTCTCCCTTCAAAGGGCTCCACGGCCATGGTGTTGCAACCACGTTTCCTCGCTGATCCAGGGGGGTGGCTCCCGGCGACCGTTGTGTGCGTTCCGAGGCGTCCAAGATCCGCAAGCTCTTTGGCCTTGAGAAGAAGGAGATGTGGCTGTCAGCACGAAGCTGGGGTGGAGTGAAAATCGATGTAAATGCATGTTACATTGCACTAGCGGAAAATGATGCAAACAAAACATCAACATTGGAATCTAAGTGTTGTGGCCGCTGTGGATTGGATACTCTGGGCTGGTCCCGAACAAACATCCAACGTGAACCCGTTTTCTTTTCAAGTTACAGAAGAGCCCATTTCGTGTTTACCATTTGGATATTGAAGTGCTGTGCCGTTTCAGCGTCATAGAGATGAGAATCCCACTTGTCATATTCCACACGGGTATTGCCCATGTGTTCATATAATTGGCTAAGCTGACCCGGGCTCCGAGCTACCACCGCAGCTTACCCCTGTAGGCAACCCCGAGAAAGGCAACGAGGAGAGGGATTTCCGAATTCCGGCCAGGACGACGTGCGCCAGTTCGTGGTTCGCCGCGTGATCAAGGAGGGCAAGAAGACCAAGGCCTTTGCGGCGCTATGCCAAACCAAGCCGAGATTAGTCCCCAGGGTTGTCGTTGCATGTTTAGTCAAGATCGAAAAGGTAAGGTTTTTGAGCCAGGTTTTTTGCAACAGAGCGGTTGAAACGGTTGACCATTGGCCACAATTCGACTGCAGTAGCCTTCGGGCTGGACATTCCATTTTGCATCACAAGACGCCTGATCTCCGCCATGGCCCGATTGCGCCTAAGATCTCGCGGTAGGCGCCTAAGATCCAGCGGCTGATCACTCCTCAGCTGCTGCAGAGGAAGCGCTACTTCAAGGTGAGGGGTGCGGAGATTTGGGGGCCCCCTGTTGGTTTACAATCACCCCCATTTTAGTGTTTTTGTGTGACACGGCACAAGATGTCAGGGTAGTTGACAATGCTTGCCGTAAGGCTGTAAGGGAAATTTCATTTGGACGCCGGTTCTTGTGCATATGCCTAATTACCAATGCATCAAGTGAGGGTGTTACCACTTTTAAGTAGGAGGCTCATACCAAAACTTGAATGGGAATAGCGGCCGCTGCTTTGGCAGATATTCAGATGGTGAACAAGCAACCCTGTTTCTTGAAGAGGGGATTGAAGATGTACCTATCAATTTTGGACAATCCTCCTAGGGCCTGTGCCCTGCTGGGCCCACAACACAGTCACTTTGTATGACCACCATTTGACTGCTTCTTGGACTCATTTCCTTGTTTGTGCCTGGAGAAAATGAGGGCGAATCTACAGAAACCGTGGCTTTGGCAATGCACCGGCTTGGCGTCGGGCGCGTTGTCGCGTTGCAGCCGGCGTGGGAGCAGGCCTTGACCCGCAGACGCATGGAGGCCGGCAAGGTCGCCAAGGCGCTGAACGGAGGGGGGGGGGAGCGCATAAAGCCTAGTTTGTTCGGTGGATTCCAGCTTCAACCCCTTTTTGTTGTTGCCCCAAAACAACATCTCATTTTTTGCCAGGATCGCTGGGGAACATATGTCAGATTCATCATTTGTTTGTTTAGTTGACTTTCTGTAAAATTATCCACAAGCCACGTACTGTGCGGAGGGGGACGTACTGCATCGGCTTAACACCCTTGTTTGCATGAAATTACAACCTGAGGCACCCAGCGTGCCCTTTGTTTAAGGTGCGATACAAAAACAAAGCAAAACGCTCAAACTACCGATTTCTGCTCGACCCCCCCAAAAAACACGCTCGCCCCCCGAAAACCAAATCCCCTTCTTCCATCCAGAGGAAGGCGGGCATTGTTACGTTTAAACATATATATATATATACATATAAAGTGCACTCGGTTGCGGATATGCGCGCTCGGTGTGCGGATATTTGCGCTCGTTTTGCACTTCGATGTCTGCTCGCTCCTTTCGAAAATTCAGCAACCGATCATCTTGGAGGACCGACCAGCCCGGTTTTTAGGAAATGTGCGTTTACCATATTTTGGTGACGACCCTTGGTTTTGCAATATGTTTGGGCTAAGGGCAGAAATTTAGGCAACGAAGGGTGCTCCAAGAAGGAACGGGTATGTTCAAGCCAGCCAGACAAAGGACGGCAAGCCCGAAAAAAACGGGATGTCTCCCCAAAACTGGGGGGGGGCTGGCTGACATACCCAAAGCTGTGTCGGTTTTCCATTCTAGGTTTCTTTGAGTGGCCCCCCAAAGGCTGAATCTGCATTCCCTGAACTTCAAAGGCCGCTGTTTTGTACTCCGTCCTTGGCGTCCAGGCTGAGTACCAGAAGCGCTTGGCCGAGTACAACCACGAGAAGAAGGAGGCCAAGGCGGCCGAGCTCCAGAAGAAGAAGGCTCGATGCGCGTGTCAAATCTGAGTGACCAAAGCTCCGTAGGAAAAAGAGAATTGGTTGGTTGGAACTGTGTTTGGGTGGAAAGCCGCTTCAATTTCCGGTCAGCACGGTCCCCGATTCTAGCCTTCCATTCGCCAGCTTCTGCTTTGGGCTTGGCAACAATGCCTTGACCGCGTTTCTTCGGCTTAATTGCTGCTGTACACGGTTTTGCCCATGCCGCATGTGAAGTCTTCACTTGCCCGGAGCCACTGCCAAGGGGCACCCGTGCCAGGCCAAGAAGGCGTAGAGCGCGTGCCGGCGCGAGCGGGTTTTGAGCAAAGTGACCGAAGCTGCCTCGAGCCAAGCGGGCGGGAGAAAAAGGATGCCAATCGCTGCGTAGGAATGGATGTGGATGTTCGGCGGTCATGGATATGTGTGTTTCTTTTCGTATGTCATGTCTCTGAAGTCGAAATTAAGTCTTCTAGGCAGGGTTTGCCTTTTGCCACCCCTCCCTCTCGCGCAAGAGTGCCAACAGGCGCAAAAGCTGTTGAAGATTTCCATTTTCAGGAGGCCCTCCGTTTTCCAACAATGGCAACAGCCAAGCCATTGTAGCTCAGTAGGTTTCACCGACCATCAACGCCCGTGGCTTGGTCGGCCCAGACCTGTCCTTTTCTGAAACGTTTAATGTCGTGGGTTTTCCTGTGGCGGCTTCCTTTTCCATAACCATGAGTACAGGGAAATCCTCCCTTTGCAACGGGCACCCTTGTCACTGACCGAAAGTGGCACTAAGCTCCTCCCCAACACCCCATGATTTTTGTCCCTGTGATTTTGGTAGGTGCTCCTTTCAATCTGACAGTTGACCGACCAAACACGGTGTCCTGGTTTTCCCGCTGGCTCAACCGAGCTGACTCGCGCTTCCGCTCGTGCTTCCTCGGGGTGCTGCGACCGGAGGCGCAGCTTCAGCGCACGAGCGCCGGCGCAGCAGCCATCGCCTGCCCAAGCTGACCGAGGCCGGAATGAAAGCACGGAGAATCCTCCAGTTGGGTGCCAACTCTCCTAAGTAGCCAATTTGTGTCAGATTGTCCTAAAAAGAAGACCACAGGGCACGTTGTGATTGTTCAGACCCCCCTGCAGGGTTGCCTCGAGCCTTTGACGAATGTCATTGGTTTTTGTGTTTCCTTGAGGGTAACGTTGCTCAATTTGGGGTCGGTTCAACGGGCAAACAAAAGCACAACCATTTTTGGTGTGTGTGTGTGTGTGTGTGTGCGTGTGTTGAGGGTACCGTTTTTGGGGCTGGTTCAAAGGGAAACCCCCACATTTTGGGGGCACACACACAAGCACGCTCTAAAAATGGAATTGGGGTAGGGAGTGACCCTCGGAATTGCCTCTCATGGGAGACTACGGTTCCTGTTATTTTTCCTTTTGGCTCCCTTGAACACAAGCCCTCCAATATTTGTTGTTTTGTTTGTGCAAGACCACTTCAGTGCTGGTTTGTCTAACAAATCCGCTGGCCGAGTCACTAGCCGGGGTGCACGTGTTGGCATCTTTTGTGAGGAAAACGGAAGACCCTAAGCCCTACGAGTGTTTGCAGGGTGTTCCTAGTTTGAAAGCGCTGTACTTCTCAAGGCAACGCCTCTCAGAAGGAAGCTGGCCATCGGACATCTCGCTAGGTGGAGTGGGCTCATCTGATCCCGGTGTCAGGGCCTCGGTTCTTGGGCCGAATCCCCAACCGGAGTGTGGCCGGGCCAGCGCGCGTGTTGCGCGAGTATGTATGGTGGGCCGGGGTTCATGAAGGGATCTCATATCTGTGGAAACAGTGTTCAATCGACCCTTCCGAGTGTTGAAGGCCGGAGCCAAACTGGTACGGGACAAATTGGGATGTGAAACTTACAAAGCATGCGAGTTTGCATTTTGTGTGGAGCTCGCCTTGTATCCTAGGCATACGAGCAAAACGCATTTGACTTGAGGTTGAAGATGGTTGAAACAACATTTGAAGCGGGTGGCCCTGACAAATGCCAATGGGAGCCATTGGTGTTTGTTTCGAGGCCAAGCATCTACGGACGGGGAGCTGTTCGAGTTGCCGAGTCCTCAGTGAGCCACACGAGCCATCGCCCAGTTGCACAGTTCCTGCAGGGCTTACAGGCACTCAAGCTATTCAAGTGCAAGTTTAATCCGACAATTGTTTATGACATGTTATGACTCTCCTTGTTTTGTTGAGGACAGTAAACTGTGTCATTCGTAGGGAGGTTTGCATGGCATGCAAGGAGAATGCAGCAATTTTACCGTAGTGTACATCAGCACGCTTGCTGTTTGCACCAACACACGATTGTTTCAAAACAATTTCTCAACAGCACGAGAGTCACCCTGTGATTTGCATCGCCCTGCTGTGAAACGAGTCTAATCAAGTCCAAAAGGAGACAAAACAATTTGTACCCTTGCTGTTAACATACAATTTAGGAACCTCACGCATATTGTTACCATTCACCACCAGGGGCTATATTTGTTGCTTTTTACTTCGAGGGTACGTGGAACTGCCTATTTTATGGCGAGCTCACCTGGGTAAAACAGGCTCACCGTGATGCAGGTCATTTAGTTAGGAACCCCTTCTTTGATTATGTGTTGGACTTAACCACCGTTCATAAATGGCTGCTTCAGGCTCCGGGAAGATTTTAGCTTCCCTGAATAGTACCCAACCTTGCGCGAAAGGTTGTTGCCACATGTCCAATCACAGATGTTTGCCGTTCTAGGGCATCCGACGGGTGCTAATTATGTCAGTGGATGAAGGGTAACTTCGACCTTGTCCGGGTTGTTTGTGATCTTGCCATTTGCCTGTCAGCAATTCCGGGCCAGTGTGAAATAGCCCGTATTGTTCAGCTTTCCCAAGAGGAAACTCAGGCGCTGAAAGAGTTTGTTTTCAGCCCCCCCAGTTGGGTATGTGTCAAAACATAGGCACTTGGTTTCCCTCTAAACCAACCTGAAATGTGGTTCTCCCCATGTCCATGGGTCCTTTTTGGGATGGGACCCTCCCGTGTTCTAACACACACACACACACACACGAACACCCATTTCGCCCCCCAGAATTCGACGTTTGAGGCAGAGACGCATCGCCGTGCCATTACCCTTGGACAGCTCAAGGCCTGGCTTTGGATCTGCCTTCACCCGACCATCCGTCTCAAGAGGCTGCATCTGATTTGGTCCGCAAAAAACTGAGGTAGGGGTGAGCCTCAGGTCTATTCAAAATCCCTGGAAGGGTTTATTGGGAATTCATGTTGAAGGGTCTTCCAATACTTTTGGAGGTTGTTTCCCTTCAAACCATCAATGAGGGGAAATGTTGATGATGTCACTAGACCATGTGTAGTCTCTATTCTCGAATCTTTGGACCATTTCAGGACCTGTCGCAGCTGGTGGGGTCTGTCTTGGACAGCCTGCAGGCAGGGGGAACTTGACAAGCAGCGAATGTACGCGTGTGGGCCTCGTAGCGCGGCGCAAATCTTCAAAAACGAAACCTCCATCCTTGGGCGCCAATTCGCTGCTGAGGCGTGCAACCATTTTTGCGGCATGCAAAGCTAACCTCAAGTCAACATCAGCAACAAGACAGCAGTACTGGACACTGCTTTTCATCCGACAACAAACATTTACCACCTGCAGGTCTATCACGAAAGAGGGCCAACTGTGGTACGCGCAGGGGCCATGTCCGGTGAATCGAAGCAAGGTGCCCGTGGTGACACGGGAGTCCTTGAAGTTGGAACCCTTTTGTTGGTAGGTCAGCCCTCAAGAACTTGCTTGTTTTGTTTGATGAGGCTTCCCTTGGGCGGGGGGAGAAGTCAGGGGCCCTGCAGATCGTGCCAGCTCCGACCGAGTCCGAATCAAGTTTCACGGATGAACTCTGCCAGGTTTGGGACGCGTTTGGCCAGGTGTCCAAGGATGTTTTGAATCCAATAGTGATTCAAAGCCATATGGCTATGGGTCAAAACCCCGTACCCCCAGTGAACATCCCAATGCCCACTAAAATAGACTAAAATGGGTGGTGCACCTACCCCAAAATGGGATCCCATTGGTGTTGACCCACGGCCATATGGCACCTGAGGTGCAGGACCCCAACCCCAGCACCAATCTGGGCCGCATCAACTTACAGAGCCGGGGTGCCAGGAGACAGGGGGACTCTCAGCCTATGAACCCATTGTTCAGTGGCAGATCTCGGTCGCCGCCCAAACATGGCACAACTTGACATGCGAAGGTAGCAGTTGCAGGGTTTGATAGCAGGGTTCCACTTGTTCAGCGGCACCCTCCAAATCCAATTTTCTTGGGTGCAACCCAAAAAAGGTTTCCCGGTTTGTATCAGTCACTGAACAACTGGGTGAAAGATGCGCAAACCCAATGGAGGTCCATCGCCGAATGTAAAGTGTTTTTCGGTATTTGTCTTTTCCCAAATCTTAGTCGGACCGGCTGGACTACAAACTCTTGTTTGGGAATCTTCCCTGGCAGGTTTGGAATGGATCTCCAGGGTAGGAGAGTTTGGTTTCCTTCGCTTTCGCCAAAAGCCAGTTTGCTTCCTTTGCGCCCTGGCCTTTGGAGCAGCCCTAACAAACGGAAAAAGTCCAACTCTCAGAAATGACCGCTGAACAGACACCAGTGCCATGGCCAGTTTCTTTAGTTCGGGTTGGTAGGTATGGTAATCAGCCTCTTAGTTTGTACGGGGTTTAGACAACCACGTGATTATGGGCGTGGCTCATTTACCTGCATAGAGGTAGGCAACCGGTGACTTGGCAGCCACTGGCCACTGGCATCCACAGCTATTTCTACTGCTGCGCCCTTTCTGACGGTTTCAGGGATGGGTTAGATTCAGCCAGTAATTGCGCGAATTGTGCCGCCTAGGAACCCTTTTTGCAACCCAGCTGTTCCCTGCTTAGATGTGAACTTGTACCACATGAACGAGCTCTTTGTGCTGCGCCTCACCAAGAAGGAGGCTGGAAGGGTCCCCCAGATTGGCCGCGTACCATGCCAAGAAATACAAGAACCAAAACAGACCATGCCGACCATTTGGAAGGTTCATAAACAAATAAGCAATCTAATGACAAAACCGAGGCACGCAGATTTGGAAGTGTTCCACGGGTTTCAGCCATGATTGTGGAAAAGTGGGCCACCTTACAGTGGTAAAGTAGTCATGGGTTTCACACATCCCCTTTGCCAGATTTGCAGCTTCACAGAGCTGGTGATGGACGGCCCGCAGGAGTGGCCCCGAAAGAAGTGCGTGAGACAGTGCTTGAAAGAGGAATGGGACCCACCCCAAAAAACACGGGTGTGTTGCATCAACAATCGTAGTGGACAGGGGGCTTCCCCAAAAGGAAAGTAGTCTTTGAAAGCCATCCTGTCTGGTTGGTCCGCAAAACAAACACTCTTTCAGCCCTGCCAGTTCAAAACATGATTCTGATTGCCTGTGGTCCCACGTGACTGGCACTCCCTTGTATGCCCACCCTACTCAGTATGGGGTTCATGACCCTGGTCAAGTCCCCCTAGGTAGAATTTATCCTACACCCATGGGCCACTCATCAACCAGGGTTACAAATCACATCTACCATGCCGCGTGGGATGATGTGAGCATTTTTGCAGGACCCTGCCTGGTTTGTCTCCCACTGGTGGGGTACACCCTGGCGCGACAGCTGGGGCCTTGGATGTGCGTTCGCCCTGTGGGCCAAAGGGCACAGCTTGGGGTTGCCAGGGCTTGCAGTTGCGGTGGACACCTCCATGGTATTCTGGGCTATGGGGTAAGATGGCCGCTCACACGTTGAAGTCGACACACTTTGGCTACGGAGCTCCTCGACTTCGGGATGTTGTTTGTTGAATGGGAAACGACGGCTTGTTGTGCATGGTGAGAGACCCAATTTCGCTGGAGGTCTGGCCATGCTGAACTTTCACTCAGAGGCCATGGGTGTTTAACGCCGCCCAAAATCCATTCCCATGGGCCATAGTGAGTGGTCCTGCTGCACAGTTGTTGTTTTGTTTTTTGGCATGAGCCTTCAGAACAATTTTGTATCCAACGTCGATGGGAGAGCGGAAAGCGGAAAGGGCACTGTTCATTGGGTGTCGGCGCCTGAGGTATTTGGTGGTTTGGGGGGGGGGGAAGTTGGAACCGTTCTTCCGGAGCCAAGTGGAAAGACGGCTTCCCCCCAACCTCTACAAATGTCGAAAGCACCAATCACCAATTTAAGCCACCAACAAGGCAGAACACTCCCTCTCTGGATTGATTTGGAGAGTTTCCAACTCTTTTGTGGATTGATCAGTTGTTGCCTCTGACTTTTGCATCCTTTTGTATTTGTGCTCAGCGCAGGTGCACAAGCTGGCAGAAGCCAGCCCATACTGGATCTGCACTTTTGCGAACAATCAGCATGACTTGGAGGACAGCTGACAGTTGGTGGACTTGTTCGATTCGCGAATCAGCAGCATTTTCGGCCATTTGTGCAGGAATGCCTAGGTTCGCAGTTCGTTCTGGGGGGTCTGGGCTGTTGCATCTGAAAAAGCCCTCCAATTCGAAGAGCCCAGCCGGTTGCTTCGACTTTGAATCCTGGAAGCGTGTCGCGGTGGTGGGCTCTTCCTGGTTTTCTGGGTGACAACTAGCTGATGTTTACCTTCCCCTACAAGGACCCCACCAGAGCATGGATGGTTCCTTTAAGCTTCCAGACGCCCAGCAATTGATACCGTTCTCCTTTTTCTATCGGGGCCATGGCCGTGCCAATCCGTGCCACCCATTTTTGACGGTTCCCTCCGCCGAGAGGCTCGCCATTCGCGAGGAGCTGAACACCTCAGATCTGCTGGAGACCCCCTTCGTGCGCGCCATCATGAGCCAGACCTGCCAGGGCACAGCCTGAAGCTCGGGAAAAAGCCGCGACATCCCGGCTCACCTGCAAATCAAAAGAACCCCAAACATGGGGCCCTTTCCCTAAATGGGAATCCTCTAAAAATGTGTTTGCGTTAGGTTCCACGTCAGGGGAATACACCCTTACAGTACCAATGGAATTCTGGGATTCGGGTGACCATGGTGACCTTTGGAATCCAATGTATGCTTTAAAGCTTCCCTTTCTGAAGACTTTTAGTGGCGGCGACAGGAAAACTAGTTCCTGGGGGTATCAATTTCAGAAACTAGGGTTGTTGTTTCCCTTTAGCCTACCGCTTGGCGGGCTGCCTTTGACAGACATAACATTGGCCAGTGAAGCGGAGAGTTATCAGAACGCACTTCTATGTGGTTGGGCTTCGGTCCCTTTTCTGTCTCGATGTGCCCGCCCAATGGCTTCGGAACTCAAAAAAGGGGGTGGGGGCATCATGTTGTCAATTTTGACAACTGCGCTGGACATCCCGAAAGTTCGCCAAGTGCGCAAGGGCCTCCGCTCCGTGGTCTACACCAAACCCTTTTTTTAACCCAGCTTGGTAGAGCCAACAGTCGCAGCTCATAGGCCTCCTTTTGTTGGGCACCAGGGGCAGTGTTCTGCAGAGTCCAACGCTGATTTCGACTGTCTTGTCATATCCAGGGAAGGCCACTGTTTTGTGGTGCTTGTTCGTGTTTGGCCCCCGGTTTCAGTCATGTTGATTCCTGTGGTAGATCCAAACGGTTCCCAATCCGGTGTCACCACTACGAAGTGACCTGCAGACCTGCCGTCGCAGAGGCCGTCAATCGGATCATCCGGGCTAGTTGACTAGGGTTCCGGAGTGAAGGAACCATGAGTTTCAGTTTTAAACAGGGCCTGACTCCAATCATGTCTAGCCTTGCATTTGTTCTAGGCCAAAATGACATCGTTCCTTTATCGAGCAGCAAACTTATTGATCCAAGTATCGAAGCGCGGGCGCTAAATAGCCGCCTATACATGTATGATCAACCCCACAAAAGAAAGCTGGCAAGAGAAAGGGGTTTGTTTTTCAGACTTGCCACCCTCCCAAAAGCAACATTCAAGCGACTGGAAAATTGCCTTTCAGGGGGTCGCTGTCAGGTTCGAAGATATTTGACACCCCCGCCTGCCAGTTGGTTTGTCCTTGGACCTCTCAGGTCATGCTTATGAGTCGCTGGCTCAGCCTGGAACGAGCGACAAGCCCAAAAACTGGGGTTCCTGCCAAGGGCCCGCTGTTTGGATAATTTTTGCACATGCGTCCGAATGAGTCCCCAACATGGGCCTCCTTTTGGAAAGTCTTGAAGTGGAATCCAAATCGAAGCTAGCAATCTTTGGGGAAGGTCGTGCACAATTTGTTGGTTTTGTCTTCTGTTCCTTCCAAGATCGTAGGGGACACCCCATTCAGGTGATGTTATATTGCTTGTTTCGTTGAACACTTTTCCCATGTGACTCATGTCCCATATTTACACGCTGACGCGACACAGCCGGCCACCGGGCACCTTGCCCTGCCCGTTCTGTCACTTCCCTTTCCTGTAAGTCCGATGAGTAGATGTTAAGATCTTAAAATTCTAAAAACTTTGAGATTCTAAGGGTCTCAGATTTGAAGACTTTCGGAATTTAAGGTTTCAATGGTTGAAGAATTAAGGTTTTAAGATTCAAAGATATAAGGTTTTTGAGGGTTATAACAGCCAGGCCATTGCCCAGCCATTTTCCATCCAAGTCTTTAAGATTGTATGTTTTTTTGAGATTTTCAGATTTGGCGACTTTCGGAATTTAAGATTTTAAGATCTTAAGATGTCAAGACTTCAAAATTTGAAGATTAAGAGGTTAAGGAATTTAGAATATTGCCCGGATTGAAGGAATTTTATTATATTTTGCTTGTTTATGAATTTAAGATTTTCAGATTGCAATAGTTCGAGATTTAAAGAATTTAAGTTTATGAAGCTTTTAAGATTCTGAGATTTTCAGACTTTGAGAAATCAGGAATTTCATATTTTAAGATTTTAACATCTGAAGACTCAAAGACATGAGGGTTTCTGTCACTTCCCTTTCCTGTAAGTCCGATGAGTAGATGTTTTAAGATTTTAAAGTTCTAAAAACTTTGAGATTCTAAGGGTCTCAGATTTGAAGACTTTCGGAATTTAAGGTTTCAATGGTTGAAGAATTAAGGTTTTAAGATTCGAAGATTTAAGGCTTTTTGAAGGTTATAACAGCCAGGCCATTGCCCAGCCATTTACCATCCATTATCAGATTTCGAAGGCTGTAAGATTCTATTTTTTGTGAGATTTTCAGATTTGGCGACTTTCGGAATTTAAGGTTTTAAGATCTTAAGATGTCAAGACTTCAAAAGTTGAAGATTAAGAGTTTAAGGAATTTAGAAGAAAATAGCCCGTATTGAAGGAATTTTATTATATTTTACTTGTTTATGAATTTAAGATTTTCAGACTGCAATAGTTCGATATTTAAAGAATTTAAGTTTTTGAAGCTTTTAAGATTCTGAGATTTTCAGACTTTGAGAAGTTAGGAATTTCATATTTTAAGATTTTAACATCTGAAGATTCAAAGACATGAGGGTTTCTGTCACTTCCCTTTCCTGTAAGTCCGATGAGTAGATGTTAAGATTTTAAAGTTCTAAAAACTTTGAGATTCTAAGGGTCTCAGATTTGAAGACTTTCGGAATTTAAGGTTTCAATGGTTTAAGAATCAAGGTTCTAAGATTTCATATTTTAAGAGTTTAAGATCTCAAGATTCTAAGACATAAGGTTTTTAAGATTTCAAGATTCGAAGACTTTAGGAAGTTTTTATATTTTTAGATTTTAAGATTCTAAGTTCTAAGATTTTAAGATCTTGAGATTCTAAGATTGATTGTTAGATATTAATTGAAGATTTTAAGAATCTAAGACTTTAGGATTTTGAGATTTCAATCCAGGCCATTTTCCATCCATTTCCATCCACTTTAGATTTTAAGATTTTCAGGTTGCGCGTTTTCGGCAAATTGGCCCGACTTAGGGGACAGCATCCCCAGCATCCCCTGCATCGCCGGCATGCATAACATCATCCGCATCATCCGGGATGATGCTGGCAATGCTGGGGGTGTTGTCCAGTATTAGGCACCCCCTAAAAATGTTCGTTTTTGGGCGCTGCGGGGAGATGCTACAAAAATCGCCTAAACCAATCCGCGAATCCTTCGCCCCTTATAAGGGAGGGCCCAGCACAAAACGTATGCGCATGGTCCGCGCATGGTCGGCGGCATGGGGCGCGCGGCCTTATACCTGAAGGTAAGCCCTAACGGGCTTTGGCCTGCGGCCCGATCACGTCCGGTGGCCGGATTTAAGGGCTGCCGCCCAGTGCCGCCGACCCCAAACCAGTTTGGGAATGGCTGAAATGAACGGCTTCAAAATGGGGCCGCGATTAGCCAGGGTGCGGTGCATTTTTGCTTTGCTTTCGCGTGAAAATGCACCGCTTTTATGATGATGATGAAGATGTTGATGATGATGATGATGATGATGATGATGATGAACTGACATGATAATCATCATGACGCATCCTTAGCATCACCAGCAGTCATCGTGATAATGCGCTTTGATTGGCACGCTTCCATAGAACCTGCGCCCGTTTTCTTTCCTTGGCTTGGTGCATTTTTGTAATAATCTGGTGAGAAAATGCGCCGCTGTAAGTGCCTACAATTCTGCTGCTGCTGGGAGCATGTGCCGTGACGTTGCGTTTGCAGTAGAGGCTCATCGCCGGTCACCCCGCAAGCCAACCAGTTTTCTCGCCAAGTCGGGGCTGCGATGGGTCCCCTGTTGTAGCCAGGGCGCGGTGCATTTTTGCTTTGCTTTCGCGTGAAAATGCACCGCTTTGATGATGATGATGATGATGATGATGCTGAGCTGACATGATAATCATCATGACGCATCCTCAGCATCACCAGCAGGCATCATGATAATCATGACGCATCTTCTGCATCTCAAATCGGCTCTAACGGGACTGATGATGATCATCATCATGGATGATAACCATCATCGTGCATCCTCTGCATCACCAGCAGTCATGATGATAATCATGTCTACGCATCCTCTGCATCTCCAATCAGGTCACAACGATGATGCTGTGATGATGATGAGCATGTCATCATCACCATGATGGTGGTCATCATCGTCATCATCATCATCATCATCGTCATCATCGATGATAACCATCATCGTGCATCCTCTGCATCACCAGCAGTCATGATGATAATCATGACTACGCACCCTCTGCATCTCCAATCCGGTCTAACGCTACCCTTGAAACGTACATGAAAGATAAGGACGAGAACGATCATGATGTGATATTGACAAGCGTGTCATCATCATCGTCATCGTCATCATCATCATCGTCATCATCGTCATCGTCATCGTCATCATCATCGTCATGATAACCATCATCGTGCATCCTCTGCATCGCCAGCAGTCATGATGATAATCATGTCTACGCATCCTCTACATCTCCAAGCAGGTCACAACGATGATGATGTGATGACGATGAGCATGTCATCATCCCCATGATGGTGATCATTCGTCATCATCATCAGCATCATCCTCGTCATCGTCCTCGTCATCATCGCCGTTATCATCATCGATGATAACCATCATCGTGCATCCTCTGCATCACCAACAGTCGTGATGATAATCATGTCTACGCATCCTCTGCATCTCGAATCAGGTCACAACGATGATGATGTGGTGATGATGAGCATGTCATCATCACCATGATGGTGGTCAGTATCGTCATCATCATCGTCATCATCATCATCGTCATCATCGTCATCATCATCGTCATCATCATCCTCATCATCATGGGTGATAACCATCATCGTGCATCCTCTGCATCGCCAGCAGTCATGATGATAATCATGTCTACGCATCCTCTACATCTCCAAGCAGGTCACAACGATGATGATGTGATGACGATGAGCATGTCATCATCACCATGATGGTGGTCATTGTCGGCATCATCATCATCGTCATCATCATCAGCATCATCATCATCATCATCGTGATCATCACCGTTGTCAGCATGGACGATAACCATCATCGTGCATCTTCTGCATCACCAACAGTCATGATGATAATCATGACTACGCACCCTCTGCATCTCCAATCGGCTCTAACGTCACCCTTGAAACGTATATAAAAAAGATAAGGACGACAACATCATGTCTACGCATCCTCTGCAGGTCACAACGATGATGATGTGATGATGATGAGCATGTCAACATCACCTCACCCTTGAAACGTATCTAAAAAAGATAAGGACGACAACATCATGTCTACGCATCCTCTGCATCTCCAATCAGGTCACAACGATGGTGATGTGATGATGATGATCGTCATCGATGATAACCATCATCGTGCATCCTCTGCATCACCAGCAGTCATGATGATAATCATGTCTACGCATCCTCTGCATCTCCAATCAGGTCACAACGATGATGCTGTGATGATGATGAGCATCGTCCTCACCGTTGTCATCATGGACGATAACCATCATCGTGCATCCTCTGCATCCCAACAGTCATGATGAGAATCATGTCTACGCACCCTCTGCATCTCCAATCTGATAACCATCATCGTGCATCCTCTGCATCACCAGCAGTCATGATGATAATCATGTCTACGCTTCCTATACATCTCCAATCAGGTCACAACGATGATGATCTGATGACGATGAGTATGTCATCATCACCATGATTGTGGTCATCATCGTCATCATCATCATCGTCATCACCAGCAGCATCATCATCGTCATCGTCATCGTCATCATCACCGTTGTCATCATGGACAATAACCATCATCGTGCATCTTCTGCATCACCAACAGTCATGATGATAATCATGACTACGCACCCTCTGCATCTCCAATCGGCTCTAACGTCACCCTTGAAACGTATATCAAAAAAAAAAGGACGACAACATCATGTCTACGCGTCCTCTGCATCTCCAATCAGGTCACAACGATGATGATGTGATGAAGTCATCATCCCCATGATGGTGGTCATTATCGTCATCATCATCATCATCGTCATCATCATCAGCATCATCCTCGTCTTCGTCCTCGTCATCATCACCGTTATCATCATCGATGATAACCTCTGCAAACGTATATCAAAAAGATAAGGCGACAACATCATGTCTACGCATCCTCTGCATCTCCAATCAGGTCACAACGATGATGATGTGATGATGATGAGCATGTCATCATCACCATGATGGTGGTCATTATCGTCATCATCATCATCATCGTCATCATCGTGATCATCGTCATCATCGTCATCATGGACGATAACCATCATCGTGCATCCTCTGCATCACCAACAGTCATGATGACAATCATGACTACGCACCCTCTGCATCTCCAATCGGGTCTAAGGCTACCCTTGAAACGTACATAAAAAAGATAAGGATGACAACGATTATGATGTGATACAATGACAAGCGTGTCATCATCATCATGGTCATAGTCATCGTCATCATCACCGTTATCATCATCGATGATACCCATCATCGTGCATCCTCTGCATCACCAACAGTCATGATGATAATCATGTCTACGCATCCTCTACATCTCCAATCAGGTCACAACGATGATGATGATGACGATGAGTATGTCATCATCACCATGATGGTGGTCATCATCGTCATCATCATCATCGTCATCATCAGCAGCATCATCATCATCGTCATCGTCGTCATCACCGTTGTCATCATGGACGATAACCATCATCGGGCATCTTCTGCATCAACAGTCATGATGATAATCATGTCTACGCACCCTCTGCATCTCCAATCGGGTCTAACGTCACCCTCTGAAACGTATATAAAAAAGATAAGGACGACAACATCATGTCTACGCACCCTCTGCATCTCCAACCAGGTCACAACGATGATGATGTGATGATGATGAGCAAGTCATCATCTCCAGTCATGATGAGAATCATGACTACGCACCCTTTGCATCTCCAATCGGCTCTAACGCTACCCTTGAAACGTATATCAGAAAGATAAGGCGACAACATCATGTCTACGCATCCTCTGCATCTCCAATCAGGTCACAACGATGATGATGTGATGATGATGAGCATGTCATCATCACCATGATGGTGGTCATTATCGTCATCATCATCATCATCGTCATTATCGTCATCATCGTCATCATCAGCGTTGTCATCATGGACGATAACCATCATCTTGCATCCTCTGCATCACCAACAGTCATGATGACAATCATGACTATTCACCCTCTGCATCTCCAATCGGGTCTAACGCTACCCTTGAAACTTAAAAAAGATAAGGACGACAACGATTATGATGTGATACAATGACAAGCGTGTCATCATCATCATTGTCATCGTCATCGTCATCATCACCGTTATCATCATCGATGATACCCATCATCGTGCATCCTCTGCATCACCAACAGTCATGATGATAATCATGTCTACGCATCCTCTACATCTCCAATCAGGTCACAACGATGATGATGTGATGATGATGAGCATGTCTTCATCACCATGATGGTGGTTATTAATCATCAGTATCATCATCGTCATCAGCAGCAGCATCATCATCATCATCGTCATCGTCGTCATCACCGTTGTCATCATGGACGATAACCATCATCGTGCATCTTCTGCATCACCAACAGTCATGATGATAATCATGACTACGCACCCTCTGCATCTCCAATCGGCCCTAACGCTACAATTGAAACGTATATCAAAATGATAAGGACGACAACATCATGTCTACTCATCCTCATCTCCAATCAGGTCACAACGATGATGATGTGATGATGATGAGCGTGTCATCATCTCCATGATGGTGGTCATTATCATCATCATTATCATCATCGTCATCAGCATCATCATCATCATCGTCATCATCACCGTCACCACCATGGATGATAACTATCATCGTGCATCCTCTGCATCACCAGCAGTCATGATGATAATCATGACTACGCACCCTCTGCATCTCCAATCGGGTCTAACGCTACATTTGAAACCTATATAAACAAGATACGGACGACAACGATTATGATGTGATATACTGACAAGCGTGTCATCATCATCATCATCGTCATCATCATCAGCATCATCCTCGTCATCGTCCTCGTCATCATCACCGTTACCATCATCGATGATAACCATCATCGTGCATCCTCTGCATCACCAACAGTCATGATGATAATCATGTCTACGCATCCTCTGCATCTCCAATCAGGTCACAACGATGATGACGTGATGATGATGAGCATGTCATCATCACCATGATGGTGGTTATTAATCATCAGTATCATCATCGTCACCATCATGGATGATAACCATCATCGTGCATCCTCTGCATCACCAGCAGTCATGATGATAATCATGTCTACGCATCCTCTACATCTCCAATCAGGTCAGAACGATGATGATGTGATGACGATGAGCATGTCATCATCACCATGATTGTGTTCATCATCGTCATCATCACCATCGTCTTCACCATCAGCATCATCATCATCGTCATCGTCATCATGGACGATAACCATCATCGTGCATCTTCTGCATCACCAACAGTCATGATGATAATCATGGCTACGCACCCTTTGCTACGATGACGGTATTGCTTACGCTGATAATGTTGAATCTTCGGCTATGCTCATTTACCAACCAACCTTGGACTTGTGCTGTAACCACCCTTCCCGTGCGCCTCCCCCTTTGAGGAGAAGGGGTCGGCGGATATGCCACGTCATTTTGACGGCTGCTGATCGAAACCCGAAGCTTCAAAACAGGCCCGAACAGGCTTACTACTCCACCCCAAACTTG